CAGGGGAAACCAATTCTGTCGGGGATACCTACTTTGGCACAACACCGGGAAAGCGGTGTTCCTGCCGGCTGTAGTAGGTCTCCACCTCCCGTTAGCTTTGAGCTAGAGGGTGTCAGATCTCCGAAAACGATGTCTTGTAAACCGAGCAGGTGACGTTTACACAACGACAGTCACGCCAAAATATCTTAAAAGTGTATTTTGTGACCCAGAAAGAGTAAAATTACAACTAAGTAGCTGCCGCCATTGTAGGAATTCAACTTTTGTGAGATCTCGCTAAAGTCCGTCTTTCTCCCGTGTCCCCTGCGGGGCGCTGTATGATTGAACCTTTTAAAGCTAAATTTAAGCAGCTTTGATTTGTCGCCTGATCGATCATAAAGATATTTGATCGGCTCTAACATGCAGAGCGATCAGCTGTGAGCTGGGATCAGTCTGTGATCCTCAAACGTCTGAATGTGGGAGACATTTCTGAAGATGGCGTCCTTGTGGCGTTCGCGCTGCTGCTGAAGCGTGAGCAGCTCTCGTCTGATTGGCTCGGAGACGTCAGCCGTCTGCTGCACCGCCGTGTAAAGTTGTTTACTTTCATATTTGCACTGAGCGACTTTTGTGAGTTTGATCCTGAAGACGAGTCCTCGCAAACCGCTCGTCGATCTCGCTTATGCTGAAACCTTTGGTACGATTTTTGCACTGCAGGCGAGGAAAGGCGGAGTCTGAATGTAGGCGTGGAGCTCCAGGAAGAGGAGCGCGCTGTGAATGTCACTGAAATATTTCCTGAGTATGAGCCGAGGTCAGCGTCGGGGTTTTATCATTGAGCTCGTGGTGCTTCGCTGTCCTTTAGTTCCCGCAATGAGATCAAACCCCGCCCACTCGCACACCTTTGCACACCTGACCAACCACCACACAAAACAGAATCGTTCAAAGTTACAGAGAAACGACTTCATTAGTTTGGGGTGGAGGGGTGGAGGGGTCGGGCGGTGTTTGCAGCTCAGTTTGAATACGAACAGCACAAAGCGAGTGTTTCCTTCATGCACCTGTAACACGCCGTGTGCGAGGCGCCGCGCTCAGTACGACGGCCGGGATCCTGGAGGCGACCACCGCTCCGTCTGTCGGGGCGTCATTACCAAAAAATAAGAAAAGAAGAAGAAACAGGACGACGACTGTGACGACTGCTGAACCACAGCTTCCCCGAGCTGCACTGGAACAAGCGCTCAGATGAACTGGACTTGAGTGCATCCAGACACTGGGGACACTGGGACACTGGAGCTGGGATGCGAGTGCCCCACGGGCGCTTCCATGATGTCAAACGGTGAACGTGGGGGTAAACCTGCACCTGCAGGTGTGCTGACATGTCTGTGGGGTGGGGGGCAGTAATCTGTGCTTGTCACCTGTTAATAAAACAGTGTGGGCGGGACCAAGGCTCTCCTTTGATCTGTACACAGGTGCTTCCAGGAATCGGCCCCTCTGGTGATGGTCAGAGGGGCCGATGGCGTGATACGGCGGCCTCGCCTCTGTCAGTCTGCCCCAGCTGTGGCTACACCTGCAGCTGCTCCACCTGTGTGTGAGTGTGAGAGTGAATGAATAGTGCCACTGTAAAGCTCTATATAAACCCAACCCATCATCATTATTACTTCCAAAGGCAACCCTGAAAACCAGAGTCTGCTGTGCAAAAGTCTTGAGCCTCAGCTCTTTTTGTTTGCAAAGCGCCGACTC